TCCTTCCTTTATTTCTAATTGTCCATCTTTGAAGAGTATTTAGTGCAGTAACTGTCATTCCCTTGAGGAATTACCATTGCTACAGGAGTGATGTGTGCAGTTTGGTTGGTTCGAGTATAGCCATACGATAATATCACGTATTATAGCAATATTAAGCTAGGTATTTGACGGTTTATACCTATATATGGTTGATTCGTAATTTTATCCACCGTAACCACGAGGGACCTGATCACTGTATACTATTTGTGTGGTACGAAGTTTTCCTCGCTGTGTGGAGAATGGTGAATATTGTTTTTAGAATCGATATTGATGAATGCAATATTTGTATTTTCTTACTGGAATTTCAGTTTATTTAATTATTAACCTTTTCGGACATACTTAGTTATGCATGAGAGCTTACGGAGATTAAAAGAACACTATTCACGACTGGGCAAAATGACAGACAGGTACGTATGATGAATTAATCGATATTATTAGGAGTTATGACTAAACTTAAAAGCATATGTCATATTCCTAGATTATTCAGCTTCTACTTGGCCACGAATTAGTGATTCATTTAAAGCAGACATAATTGTACAATGAGATAAATTACTCCATCCAGCTTTTGACGGCCAATTCCATTTCATGGATGAACACATGTTCTGCTATAAGTTTTGACCTTCCTTGTTAACGTCAGTTTTCATCATTAAAATTGTACTTGCGTCCATTGGCGTTTCTGTAAAGTAGATACGAGAATGACCATGACCAAGCATAAAAGGGACAACAAACGTGGGTAGACAAACAGACGGAACGATGATTAACAATAGGTCTAATCCATCACTACTTCTTTCAATGACGGAAGTAGTTATTCTGGCTTGTAATTGACATGCAAAATAAAAAATTCTTCAAAGCACATTATACTGAATGAATTCCATTGATTTAGTCGCGCCAAGAATAATAGCAAACCTAAAGTTCTGACTCCAGACAAGATCGTTGGCGTTATGTATATTAAATTTATTTTGTGGGCTTAAGTTCGATATCCACTAGCTTTTGTGTGGAATTCACATGTGCATTTACATGTTACTTTTTCCTGTGCTTTAGGATACCACACTCACGCTATGAAAATAATTATAAAATAAATACTACATTTTTCCATTTATTGTAGCCAGCTAATAACCTGTTTCAAAAATTTTTCTTAGGTCGCGAATCGAATCTTACATTTTGATTACTAAATTTCCTTTTAAAAATAAATTGTTGCAATAACTGTTAGGAGATTAATAATAAAAATATTAATCACGGCTTTTAAAACAAATTTCTGTAAATATATTTAAACTTTATCTGAAGTCAACGATAATAACTCATTCCAAAAGGTCTTCACCCTGGTAAATTCAAACACTCAACGATTTACAGTCTTTATTTGCCTACTTATTTTAATCAATATGTTTTTAATTAAATTGTTTGTAACTAAGATACGATGAAAAATCTTCTGACCATAGAAAATCATTATGGTTGAAACATTTATCATTCTTGTCTTAACCAATTGTTGATGATGAATCAAATATAAAAGTTTAAAGGTTATCTGATATAAACATGGACACTGATACAAGAAGAGATCATCTTGAAAGAGTGGTATAAAGACTTGAGTGACCATTGCCTACTTCCACTGACTTTTTAGGAGACGAAACGTATCAAGGCTCACTTGCAACATCATATCAAATACCATTTAATGCGGGGGAGACCATCAACGAAGAAGTGGGGAAAATGTTAGCCCAGAAAGTGATCGAACCTTTCAGTTCTCGTTTCCCGTTGTTTTAGTCAGAAAGAATGACGGGGCAAACCGTTTGTGCGTTTACTTTCGGCAGCTGAAAAAACACCCACGGTGTTCGATGCAGAGCCAACGCCAAACATATAAAGCTTATTTTTAAAGTTGACAGGTCATAAATAAATTTCCAAGTTAGACCTTGCCAAGGATTATTGGCAGGTACCAATCGCTGATAATGCCCGTGAGTTAACGGCATTCGAAACTCCCAACGGTCTTAATCAATATAAAATCATGCCATTCAGTTTAATCAACGGAGATGCGTCGCGTGTTAATCTCATGGGAAAACTATTAAACGGTATGGAAAACGTCGATAGTTTTGTAGATGATATCTTTGTTTATACATATACCTGGGATAAACATGTTAAGGTATTAAGTTATTTGTTCGATATACCTCACACTGCTAATCTTATAGCTTGTCTCACCAAATGTAGTATAGGATATTTTAACATAGAATATTTGGGCCATCTTGTAAGTGGACTAGGCCAGTTTAAACTAAATAGGAGTAATCAGAGATGCACCTATACCAGGAAACAATAAACAAGATATCTGCTATGTTTGATTTAATTTTACACGACATTTGTTCCCAATTTTGCGGCTATTGCTAGAACATTAACAAACTTGACTAGAAAAGGGCAACCGCATAAAGTTCATTGGGGTGTCTGCCAGGAAATTGCGTTTAACGCTTTAAAAAATAGACTGATAAGTACACCAATAATAAAGTTGCTAGAATTGAACAAAACTTTTGTGCTGAAGACTGATGCGTCCGATAAGGGACTTGGGGCTGTTTTGCTACAGGAGCAAGAGGGGATGAAATTTACCATTGCTTATGCAAGTAGGAAATTGTTCTCTGGGGAGAAAAAACTATTTCGTGATTGAGAGGAGGAGAAGGTGTGCCGAGGCTTAGTATGGGGGAAGGAAAATTTCATACATGCCTTTTCGGGAGGGAGTTTACCTTATAAACGGACCATCAGCCGTTCTTCCGATAGAAAAAAAACCCAATTCTTCCAGCGCACAGACGATGTAGGTTGTGTATAATTGCCACACCGTAAGATGAGTAACGTCTTGTCAGTAAGTCTATTACTTTGTGACTTGCACATCTTTAGTGGTGGTAGAGGTAAGTTATTTCATGATATTTTATGTTTATTATTTCTTATCTATATTGTAAGTTATAACTATTGTACGTACTACCACTCTTATTTTTGCATGTTTTCAATGTAGCTTTGGCTTGTGCAGTATAACGCAAATATTTTTCTGTCCTTGTTTGTGACTTAACAAGATATTTATATTAGTAATATAAAGTTGCATTTTATTAAGAAATCTTTAATACAATAGGAATCTTATCGGATACGGGTTCATTTCTGAATCTGTTTAATGTTTTGTAATGCTGTACCGATAATGCAATTTGTATAACTTACGCATATAACGTCATTGCATGTTATCGTGTATGCCCGTGCCATGCATAGAACACGGTGTTAGATGTATTTTCAGCTGATTAGAGTGATCCATGCTGATCGTAGTCGACGTGGTACAAGCTGCAGAGCAACCATCGAAGTTGACCATAGCAGCTGTAAAGCTGAACCATAACGACAGTCATCGCTCAAAGAGACCCATGAATATACATTTTCTTTCCAATGACCAGTGTGGAAGAGTTGAATTCCTATGGATTACCTCCTTTGGAACATTATATCTTGGAACATCATTATATCTTGGAACATTATATCTTGGAACATTATATCTTGGAACATTATGTCTTAGAACATTATATTTTGGAACATTATATCTTGGACTTTATGTATGAGAAGAAATGCTGTATCAACTCAGTTCAATAATGTGAGATTACAAGCATCAGATTCGATAGCGCGTAGACAATATTGTGTGCATTTTCTTCATCTCAAATGAGAATATTTACTGACTTGCTTGGAAATAATTCCTCTAGAAGAAGATGCCAAAATAGAAAAATAGTTTCGAACATTATGGATGTATATTTTCGATAGTTCAAAATCAATGTGTTCGTTGATGGCAAAATGCCTGGATTATTGCAGGATGATTTTATTCCACAGCGTTGTCTTCCTTTCAATATGTTCATGTTTAAGTCGAGCAACTTAACATATGCTTTGGGAAGCCTAATCACCATAAAACATCAAAATATGAACAATGATGTTTTCATAGATACCGTTAATTGGATTTACGTTTATTCCACATATGATAAAAATAAATTTACACACCAACCACCAGTTTTTTTTCCTAAAATTTGTAATAAATTGTTTCTACTATATTTATACGCCTACCATAAGGAGGACCGACTTGCGTTATTATTGTCCTTTCGTCCGTCTGTGCGCTTTCTTCCTTTTGTCCCATATTTTGGTTTATGCATAATGATTGAGTTCCCTACCATCTATTGTTACCAAACGTTTAAGGAGGTTGCGTTTGGGGTAAAGGAGAAATCTATCATCGCATGCTCAATGGATCAATTCTAAACTCAGAGACTGAAAGAAGGAAAATTGTTTCCACATACAAAACTATAAATCAAGATACCTTCACTAATCATTGCAGTTGAATTGCATTTAAGATACGAAATACCTAGTGTGTTTGGGTTTAAAAGGTCAAAGATCTAGAACTAAAATAGGTACCGCATGACATGTTGAGTCTTTTATCACCCACTTTGAACAATTGTGTGGATTGCTTAAGTTCTGTATCACATCTCCAGCTTGGTCTATGAAAAATGACATGCATTTGAGACAAGAAAGTGTTGGGAAAATTTTGGATGATACAAATGGGTGATGCAGGTATTTTTTTCTCTTGCGAATTCCGTATTAAAAGTTACATTAAAGGATTTTGATACTATTAATAATAAACTAAACTATACAGATTTGCAACGATTTTATGAAGAGTGACATTCTGAAGTTAATAGGAAGCACGTAACAAAAAATGCGGCGAAGCTCTGAGATCTTTTCAATGCAGTGGGATAGCCAGTTTGTTGACTTTCATTAATCAGGTGGTCAAGAGGAGAAATGAACCTAATGAACATGAAATCATATACAAAGAAGAAAACACCGTACATGATGACCTTACAAACGCATACGATGAACATGTTATGCCTACCACATGTAATTAATAGACTGTCTACACATTTAAAACATTCTAATATATATTGACTGCACATTATTTCATGAACAAAGTTATGTATATGATGGGAACCGCTCCGATCGCCTAGTGGTTAGAGCGTCCGCCTCGGATGCGGAAGGTCGTGGGTTCGATTCCCTTTTGAGTCATGCCAAAGACCTATGACCTAGTAATTCGTAAAGTGAATAATGAAATCTCATAATAATAGCTGACAGAAATATGTTTTAATGTTATATATAATGTTACATTCCATATTAAACTGTTACTGAATGATAAATGTTATTGAATCGAAATCTTTGAATAAATATTTTTGTGAAATAATTTAATAGCTTGAAGCAAAACAATGATTTAAGTACGAATGTGTGCGATCTACTGCCGTTTGCCACATATTCAGTCAGTCAGATACGCGCTATAGACATGAAGGATGGTGACAATATCCAGACAATGTAAAGCTAAAATGGAGGAGAGAATAGTAATCCTTTGCGTCCTATGGACCTACTTGTCTTCAGCATTCAAAACATTCAATGTAAAGTTGTAAAATTGTCTTTTCGCGTTTACTATGTGATTGATATAGACTTTTAGGTGCAGACTCATTTCTAAAATCTGTTCCCATATATTTTGTGCTGATGAAAGAATTCGAAACCTCCTATTTGCTATATAATTTGTCAAATTTTGTTTTACTGGATACGGCCCATTTCAGCTTCCGACTGAAAGATCACACGCTTCGAAAGAATATTGGGTAATGCAAGTGAGTGTTTTCCTTAATGAATACTAATGAATACTATAAGAAAAATCGTATCCAAGGATTTGGATAAATCAATATTGTTGTAAATATATACAGATTAATTTTGGCTAATTTTAATTGGGAAGAATAGCAGGGGCTAAATAGGTTGCGAGGACCAAAATACAGTGATTGATATTCACGTTAAGGTGCAAACTCATTTCTAAAATATGTTCTTATTTTTTTTCCCCTTCCGATCATGGGCTTAGAAATAGTCTATTTTTATACAGAATTTACCATAATTTGTTTCCCAGGAGAGGCCCATTTCAGCTTCTGGCTGAAATACCAAAAGAGTCCAAAGAGTCCAAAGAATATTAGGTAATGCAAGGGTGTGGTTGTTTTTATGAATACAATCAGAAAAATCGTATCCAAGGATTTGGATAAATTAATATGGTTGTAAAGATATGCAGATTAATTTTCACTTTTTTTAATTGGTTAGAGGAGCAGGGACTAAATAGCTTGCATGGGACCAAACATACCGTGAAATCGTTAAATCCACTTAGTGCAGTGGGATAACCACGTGGTATAGTGACCTGAAAATAAGACCCTCAATTCAAATACATGAAGACAAAATTCTATTTTGCTTTGTACCTTTAGGTTATTGAAACTATTTATTTGGGGTCCAAACAGTTAATTCATGTGTTTATGATGGTGTGACTTCCTGAGTAACACATATATGCTTGAATAGCTATCAAAATTTTTTTATTAACATAGTTATAGGGTATTTAGTGAGAGGACAGAGATGAAGACTTTATACTAGAACCTGTTCAAGTTTTCTACAAAATCATATTAAGCTGACAGAGAATGAAATACAGGTCAGAGGGGTAAAATAAACTTTATCCAGGTATATTTACCATTGCATGTAAGAAAACAGCAAAATGATGTAAGTTGAACACAGAATGCATTCCATTTTTTTGTTCAGTTTCTTTAAGATGTTGATTGATGTAGTGCGGCATTGTGGCCCAGATGATATGGGAATTCTAATGATCCATTTTGCTTTATGCATTATTAATAACTAATAATGTTTGTTATCTGACACTTTAAAGATTACATAAGTAATATTCAAACAGATTATTTGAATTGAACTTTCTGCAACTGATCCTAACATGGTTACATAGCTAACATGAACAAATCTGAATATATTTTGGAATGTTTGGAGTCAAAAGTTGACATTGTTAGGCTGACGTAGTACCTACAGTGAATCTGTAAGGCTCAATTCTGACTGTGTACACTTAAAATATCCCAAGATGTTATTTTCATCATGAATATGCCTCTGTATGGTAACACATGTCAATTTAGTACTCTGACAGAGGGCGATATTGCAGCATCAGCTGATATCTGATTCCATTGAATCATTGAATCATTGAGCTTAATAACTTGGTAGCCAACACTCTTAAAAATAGACTAAAAATGTTCAAACAGATTATTTGAATCATGTTTGCACATGTGATTTTAACAAGTGCATTGCATATGTCCCACACATGCAAATATCCATCCTTATTTACAAGTTCTGGGGATTAAAATTTAACATTTAGTTGATAATATAGGAACTATTGGTACCTATAGTTGATCTGTGTGGCCACATTTCGCTGTATTCACTCGCAATATCTAAAATCGTTTTTTTTTCTTCATGAATAGGATTGCATATAGTAATAAATTTTAATTTGGTACATTGTCATTTGACTTTCCAGTATACTGGTATGTATCAATGTTTGCACCAATGATCAAACCTCACCGTTCCAACATTGCCTTAAACTTTATGATACATACTCTACCTGATTAATTATTTAACCTGTAAATGGCTGAATATGCTTGTAGAAACTTCATCTATTTTTAGGATGCATATATCACTTTAATACATGCCCAGTGCTTCACATCTTTGTGTGTCACTCTGTCAAGTTTACCTTTTTTACTCATATTTGCAACCTGAATGTTATTTTGAAATCACCAGATCTAACACATTTTAACTTCATTTGCCTACATCTTTCTTTTTTTAGAATTAAGTAAAACATGTTATATATTTTCAGGTCTAGTCTGGTATCTGGAACAAAGTATTAGAGTTGGATCAATTTAGAAGCTCTCCAGTAGTCCAATGGTGATAGCAAGGTCTCATAAGGACATGTGCAGTGTGCTGCTATAAGTGACCAAGATGAGTTCACATCAGTACATTGATATAAAGCATCTCAAAGACATGGCTTAGATCTTCATGAGAGAGATTCGCATCATTGTTCAGTTAGGTGGAACTTACCTGAAACTGTATTTTTGTATTGCATTGTTGACTTTTGTAGTTATCGACATTAAAATGGAATGCATATTTGCTATAAAACATGGTAATGGTCCCATCAAAACTTTAAATTTGAGTGGGCTTTTAGTTATACAAACAACTGCCCAAGTACCTGAAACAATAAATGTGGAACATAACACCTGTCATTGTTTCTTTCGTATGTACACCTATATGCAGCTGGATAGGCATATTGCAATCTGCTGTCAAAATCACTGAGAGCTATCATGCTTCAGTACCCCTGGGAATAATGATATCAGTTGTACAGACCCAAAATACCATTTGTTTTAAACACCATTCATTAATCAACTTTGCTGCCTTAAATTTGTCAAACCGAATGTTATAACTTGTATGAAAATTTAATTTTTTAAAAATTAAGAAGTTTTTAAAATTTAAATATTTATTTAAATTTCCTTTAAAATTTAATATATTCATATTTTTAATTTCAAGCATAATTTCAGACAGGCCTTATCACGTATTACAATTAGCTTTTTACTGCATTGAAAAATTCCTATAATTAAGGAAGATATAGCAAATTTAGTTTTGGTTTCTTAAGAACAATTGGGCCTCAAATTGCACCCTATAAAACACCAGCACTACACACTTTCTGACAGCTGTCACATGTCTTGCTTGCAAGAAAATTTCAAAAGACTTTATGTATGAAGTTGACATAGTAGTGGCATGCAAAATAAAATGTAAATATAAAAGTTTGGCAAAAACATTGACCCTTTCAGGCATCAGTACATAATTAATAAAATCCGGTTCAGTACCCACGAATGTAGTCCCAGTCTATTTTTAGATCACTTTTTCCTGTCTGAGTTTGGTGGTGATACTGGAGTTAGATTATGGCATTCTTGGTAAGGATTTAAAGGCAATTGCTTATTCTTTAAAATGTGAGCTTATGGTGTGGTTGTCTGTGTGTATTTCGGCGAAAGTGTACATTGAGTAATAAGGTCATTTTGATGATCCGAAAGTGAAATATGTGTTCCGTTGCCTTGTGTTTTGTTTATAATTCAGCCTCTCAAAAAATGCAGGTCAACCCTTGACAAGAACTAAACTGTAAAGTCATCTTTGAAAGTATTTTAGATTAACATATGATTTGCATTGATTGTCACACAGTGGAAAGTTCAGTACTGATAAACAAATGTAGAGACAATATAGTAGAATTAATTGTGTTCTATGGCCGTATATCGACCAAAAATGGTGGAGGCAATTGACTTGAAAGGGATACTTTGTAAACTTAACATCGAAAGCATTACTATGTACCTTAGAAGCAAGGATAGGTGTACTCAAGTGAAAGACATTTGCAAAAACACGGACCGGAAGAGGAAAATTGCTGATCTAGGAGTCCATTCAAGTTGCATGCTTTTTTTTCTAGATCATGAAGGAAGTGTGTTCAAATTTGAACAACTTAATTTTTGATTCGATGGTTTGGCTTGCCGCTGCATGCAATAAACTCGCAGACCTGAAACACAGAAATATATGCTGGATCCGCGAAGGTGTAGATAGAGTTAACATATCGAAATCTTGGCTAGCGATGATGCATAAGTATAAATCAGTGAAATATCGACAAGTCAGTATTGTAGAATTCGATAGATATAAATTGTACGGGAAGTAACTCCTTCATGAATGCATTCCGCTTGGTTTGTGTGTGTGTTTTATGGTTAAATTGCTTCCCTCAAAAGCTTATATTAAGAATAACACCTCATTTGTATATTTTTGGTTTTAATTTATTTCTGCACATTTTCCTTACCTGATATGAGTAATAGAATGTAGCTTCATATTCGACTAAAAAGATTGAATTAGTTGTTTTTCTAACTTTAACATCAATATTGGGGACAAATTTTGATATAAAATCACCCTTTTGTGCTAATATCACATATCTATATCGAAGAAAACGCATACGAGTCATTTTATAATGGATATGTTACCCATGTTGCGTATTGGAGGGGCGAAGATGGTAGTTTATCCATAGACCTCTATACACTATCATCGCCATTAGCCCGTCGTCACTTTTTCATACATACAAACTAAGGTCTTCTTACATTTAACATTCAGAACAATGCATGACATAACTTTGTTTCAAC